TATTGTTGTTTTAAAGCACATTTGCTATTAAAAGGTGAAATCCACATGGTGTCAGAACCATGGAGATGAGGGTGAGACAGATGTGGAAGAGACCAGCTCTGACTGGATGGTGGGTATGTGAGTGTTCATTACAGCATTCTCCACTGTGCAAACTAAAAAGGTGAAAAAGTACATTTATTAAACATTAGGACAAGTTCGATTATGCAGCTCTACACAAATCTAAGTGTTGACCTGACTTAAAAAAAAAGAGCTACCTCCAAATAAGCTCAACTGTGGTCTATAGAACCCAAGTCCAAAGCCAAGGGTAGGCAGCTCAGGCCTATAATCTCAGCACTTGGTAGGCTGAGGCTTGAAGATGTGAGCTTGAGTCTAGCCTGAGCTATACAGTGAGACCCTGTCTCACAGTATCAAGAGCTGGGAATGTAGCTCAGGTGTAGAGAGCTTATCTAGCATGCTCAAGAACCCAAGTTTGAATGCCAGCACTGGGGTAGAAGTTTATAGTAAAATGCTTTTAATGCCATTTGGAGTTTATTCTTATACCTATAACCTAAATTACTAAACTTTTAAAATTCTCTATGTAGGGGCTGGAGAGATGGCTCAGCGGTTAAGAACACTGGTTGTTCTTGCAGAAGACCCGGGTTCGACTCCCAGCACCCACATGGCAGCTAACAACTGTCTGTAACTCCAGTCCCAGGGGATCCGACAGCCTCTTCTGACCTCTGTGGGCACTGCATGACATGGGTGCACTTACCTACATGCAGGCAATACATGAATACCATAAAATTAAAAAAAAAATTCTTGCTGGGCGTGGTGGCACATGCCTTTAATCCCAGCACTTGGGAGGCAGAGGCAGGCAGATCTCTGTGAGTTCATGGCAAGCCTGGTCTACATAGTGAGTTCCAGGACAGCTGGGGCTACAGGGAGACCCTGTCTCAGAAAGACCGAAAAAAAATTCTCTAATTGTAGGACTTAATATCTCCTTTAGCCTGATGCCTGAACCTGCGAACTGCTGACCTCCCCACCTGGAACTCTTACTCAGAAACCCTCCTACATGCTAGTTCTGTGCAGGGTACTGCAGTTAACACGAGGCACCAGATGGACTATGAACCTCATGGGGAAGATAAACTGACGGATTATAAACACACCAGTGTCCTGAGGAACACAGTGGTCTGAGGCCAGTGTGCTGGAGGAAGGAGTATTAGGGCTGGTTTCCTGATTAAACTGACCTTTATGGGGGGAAAAAAATGGAGCTGACTAGAAAAAGAAGTTGAAATCGGAAAAAGGGTTTGGGCAGAGGAGATGGGCCTTGGGGGAAACCTTGAAGAGTAAAACAAAACTAATGTAAACATGATATACTTAAGGAAATAAACAGAGCAAAGATGGGGCTGGAGTGATGACTCAGTGGTTAAGAGTTACTCTTCCAGAGGACTTGGGTTTGGTTCCTGGCACCCAGAAGATAGCTCATCTTTAACTCTAGTTCCAAGGGATCCGATGCCCTCTTCTGACCTCCACAGGCATTACACAACATGGGTGCACTTAGATACAAGCAAGCAAAACACATACATAAAAACACAAAAATCCAGGGCTGGAGAGATGACTCAGTGGTTAGGAGTACTGGCTGCTCTTGCAGAGGACCTGGGTTAAAACACACACACACGGCTACTAACAACTGTCCTTAACTCCAGTTCCAGGGGATCCGACGCCATATTCTGTACTCCACATGCATTGCAAGACATGGGTGCACTTTACACACATGCAGGCAATACACTCATACACATAAAAATAAATCACAAAGAAGTTAAAAATAAATCCAAAAAAAAAAAAAAAAGAGCAAAGATGACGTCGGAAAGGCAGCAGGTACCGAGCTGGGGAGAGGACTTATGTGAGAGTGAGCAGCTTTACCTGGAAAGCTCCGAGGACTCAACACAAAACTGACATGACTAGACTCTGGTCCCTGAAAGTCCCACTGTGAGGCAGAGACGGGCAGACAAAGATGAAGCAAAGTATGAATTTGGTGTGCCAGTTGGGAAATGACATAATTGGACAAAGGTGATGATCGTGAGTTGGAGAAAAGTGGGTGAACTTGGGAGACTGAGAAGATAAACCTGACAGGATCTATGTTGGGAGGGAGGATGAAGTGGGTGACTGACAAGTATCAAAGACAATACTCCAGATTGGCGCTTGGTACCTGGTGGATAAGGACCATTTACAAGATAAAAATTACCTTTTAGTCTTTTCAGACCCACAGAGCCTTGTTACTGTGAAATGACTTGGTTTCTCCTCCTATAAAGTGGGAATAACTACACCGTGAACTTGAGGATTGTTCAGAGGCACATTGTGGCTTAATGTCCAACCACAAGCAGGGGCTCAGTACACACCTGATAAGCAGAAATCTCTACAGCATGTCTCACTCTGCTCCAGTCCTGGGTGCCTTAGCTGCTGTTCCCTCCCCAGTCCATCCAAACTCTTTCTCTAAGCCCTGTGGTCTTGCAGCACCTTTTAAGATTCCATACATCACATAGAAAAGGGGTTCAAACTTTGAAAAGAATGGAGCACATACTGCTTTTTTAGCTCAGTGAGAAACCAGTGTCCTTCCAGCTCAAAGGAATCTGTGAACCACTCACCTCTCTCTGCCAGACCTTCACTCCTCAAGCCTCAAGGTCTTGTTTTGTGTTGTGAAGATGTTTTCTTGGAGGTGTGGAGTTTTGACCAGGTAAGAGTTTGTAGACTCAGCTCACTGAGTTTCAAGTTAAGAGATTTGGATTGAGGCTGTTGTCCCATGAAACAAGTCAGCAGCTCCCTATGGAGGCCGGCTCCTCTTACTGGCCACTCTGTCCAGAGACTAGGCATCAGGTGGGAGGTGAGGGACATAGAAAGATGGTGTGGAAGGATGTTGGGAGCTATTAATATAGGCACAGCCATTATGTACATTGAGCTGTGGCAGGCTTGCTTGTTTAGAGTTTGTGTTTGGCACACCAGTACCTAATTATTCTGCCAAGTCAGGAGGAATGTGTTGATAATTTAGGGAAGATGGTTAAATGGTGGAGTTCACAACAAGTATTTGACCGCTCCTTGACCCTCAGATACAGGTGGGAAAAACAGCTGTTGAAGCTAATTGAGTTAAGCAAACGGTGTGCTGATGTTCTACTGTATAAAAAGGCGGAGCTAGAATAAACCGGGGCTGCAGTCTCTACTGACAGTCCTCCCAAGTATCTTTTCTCTGTCTCTTGTTTTTTCTTTCAATCCTCACTCCCCCTTTCAGGTACTTTCTGTCTTGGCTGGCTCGCACCAGCAGAAGAAAAGCTTCTAACTTAAACAGAGGGCCATAACTACTTGGTATGTAAACAAAGAGGCATCTTTACTGGGCAACTTTCTAATATTCTCTCCAGGGTACCAGGTCAATAGCAAGGGCCAGTGTGCTGGAGGATCACTACTGTGATCTAGAACCCTTTTAAAGGTGGGTCAGTGTAGGTTATGCTGATAGTAACTTGCTTTCTCTGGGCATTGAGCTCCAAGGGTTACTGGACCATTAGGTGCATGAGCTCGTGAGCAGCACTCTACCTGTCCAATGTTTGTCATTAGCCCTCTTGGCATGCAAGCCTCTAAGACCCCTGTCTTCCAGGACACACCTTCAGGGTTCCCCCTGTCCACCCACTCCAAACGTCTCCATTCTGGGCTGAACCTGTATCTCCTCAGGTTGCAGGGAACCAGCCAGCCAGGACAGTCCAAGGTTCTAACCTCCTTACTTCATCCCTCCCATCACTTGACCAGGAGAGGAGCATTGAAGGCCACACAGAACAAGCTTTCCAAAAAAATAAGTTTTTTTAATTGTCTTGGATGCAAATATAGTTTTAAAAATGCATTGTAGTGTTGGATACAGCTGGTGAAAACATGCTTGTCAACAGCAAGGTGTCAGAGGAACAGGTTCAGGTGAGTGGGCCCCAGTGGCCTCTGGCAAAACTCACCCTAACCCAGGTATAGCTGTCTCCTCAAAGAAGCCCTCCACAATCGTCACAGCATGTACCAGGAGCAGTTTGAGTGCACATTGTAGCTGAACTTGGAAAGGGAGAACATGCTGTTTCAGCCGTGCTGTTACAGAACAAGCAAATGAGCCTGCTTTTCTGCACGGAGTGGTGATTCAGATGACAGGGTGCCTAGGGCAGGGGTGCTGGGCTTCCCCAAGAGGGACACAGCCTGGCTGAGCCCATCAGACCTTTTTACCTGCAAGGTGTAAACTAGTTAAACATACAAAACAGTGTCTCCTGCCCCTCCACAATCTCAGCTCTAGAGAATACAGATCCTGTTAAATTCCGAAAAGAACCTGTTAAATTCCGAAAAGAACTCCAAATTCACTATGCCCAGGGTTAATGACTGTGGAACCAAAGTTTGGCAGGGAGATGGAGGTGAATTTTGCTAAACAACTGGAAAGGAATTTTACAAAAATAAAATTCCATTCTCTCTCTCTCTCCTCTCTCTCTCTCTCTCTCTCTCTCTCTCTCTCT